TCACTCCCACTAGGAATGATGCACACCCCTCCTTGGCCCACAGGATGGGTCCTGCCTTAAACAACATCCTGTCCTGTGTAGAGACACAGAGAGCAATGATGCTCAGCCTTCGGGGCCTGGTGAACCCAGCCCGGATTCAAGCAAAGGAAGACAAGGCCCTGAGATGCCATCATTGAGGTGGAGCTGCAGCCAGCATTCTTGAGGCTGGGAGAGACTGACCCACCAAGTTCATGCAGAAAGGGTGGGCAGTGCAGGGGAGAACTGGCTCAGCCACCCAACAGGCTGTGTGACTTAGCTTAGTTAATTTCTCTTGAAGCTGCAGTCCTGACAGGTTACAAATGGCCTGGATGCCATTTTAATGTTTTGTCTCGGTTTAATTTGGTTTGGTGTTTGTAGCTTTCCCAGACCATGTTCTTCAATGTCTAAGAGTCCCTTAGCAGTCCAAGGTCAATCAGAGCAGACCCTCCAGATAGGCTTCACTGAAGCGTGTTGATGCTACACATTTGCAAGCAACCTGACCCAAAGCATTCATCTTGTGAAGTTTAGGATTTATGACCTTTTGATTCTCCAGCTGGTAGAGAGAAAAGAACTTCAGCAAAGATCAGGTTAAGGAGTTTATCCTGGCTCCAAGAGCCTTGAAGAGCAGGCACAGCTGTTATAAACCTTTCTGTTCATGAGACGAGAACCTCTCTATCTGCTCTCAGTCACTTCTGAAAGCTGGATATGACTTTTCTGAAAATGGACCATCTCTCTGCCACAGCACATGGAAGATATTTGGATGCACAGTCTCCTATCTATGACCTACTAAATGTCATTTATTCTGTGTACTTCAAGGCCGAGCCAATTCTTCATGGAGTGTGGTGTGATGGAAAGTCACTCTGGAGTGACAAGGGCATGTGAGCAATCCTTCCCTACAGGACACACTTTTAGTGACAGTGGAATTAATTCATAAAGGTTAAAATTTTCCACTCAGCTCCTGTAAATCTCAATTTCCCATCTATGATTGTAATAATTATTTACATTTATTGAGTGCTTACTGTGTGCCAAGTACTCTTCTAAGCCTTTTATGTGTAGCAAACCATTTCATTCTTACAATAGCTGCATGAGGTGGGATCTGTTATTACATATAAATTAGAAATAAGACGCATTACCACTTTGCAGGGTTTTTGCAAGGATCACAGGAGGTAGGGCTTATGAAAACCTTGGGTATCATATACAGTTTGTAGTTTCTTTCCTTCCTATTTAATGATAGATTTGAAATGAAGCTCAAGTGTAAAGAATGAATTTAGGGTGACAAAAGACAGAAGTACCACATGGATAAGTGAAATTGCCCTGTGGGCAAATTTGATAATATAAATGTTTGGCTAGAAATCAGATTTGCTTTTTCTAAACAGAGCTGTCACCAACCTCTAATGAATTGGCATATTCTGAGGAAAGAAGAGAAAAGTTATCTTGTACTTGCATTGAAGTATTCCCCTTGGCACCAAGACTTCATAGAAAGTCAATTACTACTTTTGATACTCTTTCACGTTTCTCTTCATTCATTCAATCAACAAATATCAGGCTGGGTGCTATGGCTCACACCTGTAATCCTAGCACTTTGGAAGGCCAAGGTGGGAGGATTACTTGAATCCAGGAACTTGATACCAGTCTAAGCAATATAGTGAGACCTCACCTCAACAAAAAAAGTTTTTTAAATATCCAGGCCTAGTGGCATACACCTGTAGTCCCAGCTTCTTGGGAAGCTGATACAGAAGGATTGCCTGAGCCCAGATTGAGGCTGCAGTGAGCCAGGATCAGGCCACTGGGCAACAGAGTGAGATCCTGACACACACACACAAAAAAATATATATATAAAGTATCTGCTGTATATCAGTCCTTGGCATAAACACTAGGTATCAGGGGTGACTCCTGCACACTCCCTGCTCTTATAAAGTTTAAAGTCTTGTAGAAAAGACAAGCACTAATCAACTTCTTCCTGAATGAATAATTACAAAGATTTAGTGCCAGTGTTTGGGGGGCATATGAAAAAGACTTCCTGAAGACGTGGGACTGAAACTGGAAGGTAAGAAGGAAACCTCCCCACTGCTCTGTCAGGTAAGTGAGGGGTGTGGTAACATAAACAACATAGACCAGCCTCAGTCATAAGATTTTGCCACATGGAAGATTCGAATAACCTGAGCAAGAGTTTGGTTGGTGTGCCTAAGCTGGAAAGCAGGCTAAGTGTTGTAAAGAGAGTGGGGGAAGGAGGGGTGGTGAAGACATGAAGACAGTAATGAAGGGGAAAAAAAGAAACCTTTCAAGGCATTTGATGGTGAAGAAGAGGAGACAAAATGTATGCGGAGGAAGAGAGTGAGAGGACGAAAATATAAATGCAGTAGTTTGGCTTTCTGTCATTTCAGCCGCCCACCTCCTCTCTACCTCCAATAGAAATAGCATACATGCAAGGCAATTGTCTGAAAGTGAGCAGTGGGGCTTGAATAGGAACCAAAACTGCACCTCTACAGGAATATTCACTTGGTAAACTTTAATATGAGCAGACTGATCAAAGTTCTGCTATCAAAACCCATCCTTGGGACAAGGCAGCTGCTTTATGAAATACAATGCCTCTTTCACTGACAAAGGAGTTTTACCTGTTTCCACTTAAAACACATTTTTAAAATAAGATTTTCCAGACATGCTAGACTAACACTGCATAATTAGACTAAGCACATAGGGTTTCCAATTTATTAGCTCTTTAAATTCTGTCGTATGAACAAATCTGTGTGCTAATGAGGCATACTAACATTTCATTTCAGTGGATTATATAGAACCACTGCATTTCACTAGATGATTGAATTAAATATTTAGAGAGAAAATTAACCCTTTCAAGCCACTAGGAGATTATTCTTGCTCTGGCAAACAGCTGCAGCTGCTGTTGTTATTGTGAATAAATCAGGACTCTGTAACGCTGCAAAAAAAAATTAGATGGACTGTAGTACTGAGTGATCCGTCACAGAAACAAAGAACTGAGTATCACATAGTGTCACTCATAAGCAGACCTTGAATGATTATCGTAATCTGATAAGAAAAGGATTGGCAGTAATGGGAAACTGCGGGGGCGGGGAGGGGGCAGGATTGACAGTAGTGGGAAACTGGGGGGGAGGGGTGCACCTCATCCACAAGGGTTCCTGCATTATAAACATTTGTATACCTAATCTAGACTCGTACCCTACATCTTTAAAAAAAATTTTATTTTTATTAGTAATGATCTAAATATTCCAGAGGGAAAAAATTAAAAAAACTATTTTGGGGATGATATTTCAGATGTGTAGTCCCCTTGAAGTCATTTCTATCAATACAGTTGTGTATGTATCTACTTTTACTGTCTTCAAAAAGTCTCTCCTTTTCATATTAATTGCACACAGAAGCACATTAACTGTTATTTTGTTTATAGGAAAAAAGATTACTCCGAGCTGTACCTAGGTGGAGTCTTCTGGGGCTTAAAAAATTAAGATGACTCTGTTAAGTACCCACCACTACATCAAGATGAAGGTGTCACCTTCATTCGAAAGCCAGGAAGAAGTCTGACTCGGGTGTTCAGCAAATTGAGTCACAGAGACTGATGATACAAGTATCTTATGTTTAGTTTTGTCTCTGCTACCGTTTCCCTTGATGTCTTCCCCTCTGGCTACTATCCATTTTTCTGCCAAGAAAGCAATTAGAAAACGGCGTGTCTAAGAAACCCGCAGGCAAGTCACTGCTGATCAGCTACGGACACCACACTGTAAGAAAATGGAAGGGAGGCGACCGGCACACCTGATGGTGTCGTGTGAGACCCAGCGACAAGAAACAGATTTCAAGCTATTCAAGTTTGCCAGCCTGGATGCTGATTTTCTCCCGGAAGAAAAAGCAGCCAGGGTTGTTTGGGAAGCACCGAATCAGCTTCGGAATAGGCTCCTTCATCAGACAGACAGCTAGAAAATCCTGTTTGCCCAACAGCTCCCGCCAGCTTCCTTTAGGTCCGAAGTGAGACTCAGTTTGGGCTGCCGAACACACGCCGGTCAGCGGCCAGGAAGAGGCACGGAGTCTCGCCGGCATCAGAAACCCCACTCCCGGGACGGGCAGACGGCAGGAGCGCGGCTCGGCGC